TCCTTCTAAGGACACCCCTATATCCTATTTAGTGAACCCTCTCTTTGTTTGCAGGACCAAATAAAAAGTTGCTTAACGGGGACTTCAGATGTAGAAGTATATTAGCAAGAATTAGAAACACAAAAGCCAAATAAAACTATCCTGTGTGAAACGATTCATTTGTTCCTTGTACAGGATCAAACCCAGACACTTGCCACAGAGATGTCTTTCGGATCCTGTGACAGGATCAGGGAGGTGACGAAGCAAAGATGATGTCACAGACCTAATCACAGAAGCCGAGTCTAGGGTCTGAGGGGTCATTTAACAAAGAAATGAAAGAGCAGCTTCCAGGGTAGCAGAGTTTTTACCAAACCAACTTAACCCATTCCCAACAAGACATTACGAAAGTATTTGAGTCCATGGTGACATCCTTGAAAGAATATTTAAGGGATACAGGGAAGGCAAGAAGTATGTCTTTGCACAGTGCCTCATTCCCCATAAATATTCCTTAGTTGGTCGTTATTGTTATAGATACTTTTTTTATATCTAAAATCCAGTTGTTTTTCTCAATTGTAAGACAAAATGAACATACAACTGTACTTCCCATTTTCCAAATTGTGAAATTCCAGATCAAAATTTTTGAATAACCAACACTAACCATAGAATAGTTCCTCAATAAATTTTTGGTCAAATTTAATAGAGTTTTGGGTTTTTTTTAGACATTGAACCTCTTAACAGCTTAGTCTCTCAGAATATAATCTCAAAACTGAAATAAAAAAGATTTCTGAAAATGAGTACAGGCACCATAAAACCCCTGCATCTAAGCCATGTCTTTTGTGTGTTACCTGCATGTTTTTGGCCTGCCTGGCTCTGATGTACTATTTACATAATCCTTATGGTGAATGATATGATTTCCTCCACATAACAGATCACACTCAGAAACCTAAATGGTGCTTGGGGACTTCTGGCCTTGGACTAAACAGCAACAGGTGGTTTAATGGAAAAACTTTTAAAAGCACATCCTACTAGGAAGAGTTTGTGTGCCACACAAGGAAATGCTAAAGAACACAGACCATCTTCTGAATAAGGCAGAGAACTGTATATTTTAGAAAACCATTCCTCCAATACAATCAATGCCTGGAGGCAACAAACTTCACTTATTTGGAGAGAGCCACTTATGTGTAATTATCCATCATTATTATTCTTACTAGTTAGCAACACTCCTGTGCCAATGGGCCTCACCTTCCTCCAACTCCTCCCCTTCCACGTTCTTCTTAACTGCCCCTCCCTCCCTGCCCTCAACTATTCTGCTTCTCCTAGTTTCCAAAGCAGATGATGGACTCATCCCAGTTTGCCTGGAATGCCCCCAATTTTTGCACTTCAAATTCTGCACCCTGGGAAACGTCTGTCCCAGGTAGACCAGTTGGTCACCCTATTCCTGAACCATGTGTCGTGATTGTCTTACTGTAGCTGCATCTTGCAGGTGTTCCCTTGCGCATACGTACCTTTAGAAAAAGTCATTCTAGCCTGGCCGGCATGGCTCAGTGGTTGGGCGTTGACCTATGAACCAGATTCCCTTGCGCATACGTACCTTTTGAAAAAGTCATTCTAGGCTGGCATGGCTCAGTGGTTGGGCGTTGACCTATGAACCAGGAGGTTGTGGTTCAATTCCTGGTCAGGGCATATGACCGGGTTGTAGACTCAATCCCATGTGGGGCATGCAGGAGGTAGCCGATCAAGAATTCTCTCTCATCACTGATGTTTCTATCTATCCCATGTGCATGCAGGAGGTAGCCGATCAAGAATTCTCTCTCATCACTGATGTTTCTATCTTTCTCTCCCTCTCCCTTCCAAAATTTTTTTTAAAAAATTAATAAATGCACCATAATAACCCTGGTACAGTGGCTCAAATCATTGGGTCACTAGGAACCTCCATCTGAACTATTTTGAAAAAGAAGTCTCTGGGGTCTTAAGATATGCTAATCATGGATGTGGTTATTTCACAGATAAAATCTGCATTCTAATACCACCCCCTTTACAATCAGGCCTCAGCTTCTTATCTACAGCAGAGTTCTGACGAATTACAGGCCACAGGCCAAATCTGGCTCACCCCCTGTAGCTATAAGTAAAGCTTCATTGAAGCCCAGCCACACCATTGTTTTCCTATTATTTGTAGCTGTTTTCACACCGAGAGGGAGGAGTTGTAGAGGTTAGACAAGGATGGCCTGTTCTGCAAACCAGAAACATTTACTATCTGGCCCTTTGTGAGACACATTTGCCTAAGCCTGATGTCTAACAGGCAATAATAATGTCCTGATTTGCTCTTTGAGAACCAGATAACATATAAGGAAGAACCCCGCACAGAGCCTGGGCGCCAAGAAAAGGGACTATGATCACTCAACAAAAATATCAAAATCTAAACCTTATTATACTCTGTGGGTTTTTTGTTGTTTGCTTGTTTCTCCTCTTTTCTAGCCTCTCTCTACCTAGGTCATTCTGTCCAAAAACAAAACATGAGCCTGACTTCCTCTAAGTTGGATTAGACTAATCTGCCACCCCACGCACCTGCCTGTTTAGGCGATTTCTATGGCTCCATTCATGCAAAGCATCAGGGTTTCTGCCCCATTGTGTGCGAACTTGCGCTTTCTGGCTCAATGATTCTACATGGAGGAAGCCCAAAGATCTCGCACGGATTTGTGTTCAACATTTACGTTTTTATTTAGAAATAATAAAATAAGACATAATATATAAAAATATGTACAATCCATGGTTTGTGCAGTACAATAGGAAGACTTCAGGTACAAAAGGACGGCAAACGGGAAAATAGGAACTGTCATGATTGTCTGAGGCCCGGCTTGTGCAACTCGCCGGAGGACAGAGCTGAATCCAATGTCACTAGAAAAGAGATTCTAGTTGGGAGTGAGGGGATGGGAATGCAACACTTGTTTCCCCACCTGAACATTAGTACACACAGAGTGAAAAAGAACTCACTCTACTCGTCAGGACACGTTTCTTGCCTTTACCAAGTGGCTTATCATACAATATGAACTGACATTTGTTATTTTCAAGGGTAACATAATTTGGGGCGGGGGAGGGAGGGTTGGGTACAGCTCATGAAATAAACATCAAGGTTTGGGATGGGAGTTTGTAGGGAAGAAAGGAAGCAAAGGGAGAAATAACGCCTTGAGAGAATTTTTTTTTTTAAGGTGAAAACTTTCTCCAGGAATTTGGAAAGGACTACAGTGCTATAGTGTGACATCTTTGAAATGTCTGATTCAAGTATATGCTTAGAGGGGTAGAAAACTATGCCTTTCTCCATAATCAAAATAGATTCACTTTGTCTACATTTTATTTAAAAATAGGATAACTGAGAATCTATGCCTCCTTCCAAAAATATGATGCCCAGCCAGACAGGGGCAATGACTTCTTTAAAAGGGAGTAAGTCCTACGTGAATTCAACGAGGGTTCGCTTGCAATAAAGAAGCAACACGCGTCCAAGAATAGACCCCGGACGTTCACGGAGTCTCTTCCACCTGCATTCTAGTGACATGTGTGCATGAATGAAGGAGACCTGGGCAGTAAGGACAAATGTTTTGAAGGTAAAATGCAGCAAAACAATGTGGTGCATTACCTGTGTCTTGGCTCTTGACCAAAAATAAAATAAAATAAAATAAAATAAAATACAATAAAATAAAATGCCACTTAAAGCTTGTAACTGTTAAAATACCAATAACTAGAAAAAAGCTTTCAAATGGACAGCCCATGCTGAAATAAATAACCAAAGAACGTAGCAATACAAACCTTATAAGGCTGGTAGATACTTGCTAAAACCATGCTAACCGGTAGCATATAGGTACTAGCTCTCAGAAATTGCTGCACTGAAATCAGACTTTCTATGGCAATATTTTTCCCTTTACAGACTTCTATTTACATTTGGCTTTAAATATGAAAATATCTGATAAACTTTATAAAATGTACACTTTTAAAAACATAGCTTCTGCAAAATTTTCTTGAAAAAAACAAACAACAAACAAACCTGTGCACCAGAAATGTTATTTTTTTTTCTCTATTTCAGAAAGAAGTTGAAAGATGTCCCTCCCTCGTTCCTGCCCCCTTGCCCGCCCTCTTGGCAAATATCTTAAGTCTTTCTTTACGTGGCAGCTCTGTGTGTTGGGGAGGAACCTTCTCGGAGGTCAGCCCCACTCTCCACTGTATCTTCATTTAATGTACATATGACTGAATACTCTTTGGTTTGATTATTTTCCTTTGCAAAAAGATCAAAATAGCAGCAGCGGAAGCCCTCGGTACCCTCTCTGTCCACGGCCAAACGGTTGCCTCTTTGGTTGATTCTCTTGTCCACTCAGCCCCAGTTCCTCCAACTCTCTAGTCAACTTCCCAAACCTGCCTTTCAATTTGGATTTCAAAATAGCATCCACTTCTCTGTCTCGGTTCCCATGAAAATAACACCACCGTTTTCAAACCCAAGGACTCTGAAGGCTGACAACAGCAGGTCTGGTGACCTCATTGCAGGCACTGCATTCAGATATGGCTGCTCAAAACCCACAGACCGTCACAAACATCAATTCACAAATACAGGATTCTAGAACAAGCTTCTTTTTAATGGCATACAGGGATATAACACCATAAGAGAGTTGGTTTTGAGACTCCAATTAAAAAGAAAAGTCAGTAACCCCAGAATTCACAGACAGGGTACTTCAGACAAAAAATAAAAAGAGTTCCATTACTTAGCTAGAGTGAGGGGGAATTGTGGGTAGCAAGTCAGGCAGCCAGGCAGGAGAGGCTTCTGGGAAACCATGTGTCCTACAGTTCCACCGGAGACAAGAATCAGCTCATACTCAAGCATGAGTGTGGTTCTCAACCTGTGGGTCACGACCCCTTTGGCGGTCGAACGACCCTTTCACAGGGGTCGCCTAAGACCATCCTGCATATCAGCTATTTCCATTACGATTCATAACAGTAGCAACTTTACAGTTATGAAGTAGCAACGAAAATAATTTTATGGTTGGGTCACAACATGAGGAACTGTATTTAAAGGGCCAGAAGGTTGAGAACCACTGCTTTAGACCATTATCTCCCTTACTCGTGACCGTGTTCTATTTTGTATGGCTCTTGGTGGCCCTAAAATACTGAGACATTTTCATCCCTACCCTCTATCGTTAATATAAAGCCATGTTCCTCTCCCTCTTGGATACTTGAGCTGATGTGCTACATCCGCAGAGGCTCATCCACACCTTGGCCTCGGCCTTCGCAGCCCTCTCAGATGCTGCGGGACTCACTCCACACAGACTGGTCAGGAGGGACCATGCAGGAGGCTGCTGGTGGGGCAAAGTCCATCTGGCACCTTCCTGGGAGTCGGGGAGGGGAATTCAACCGCAAGGGTTTAATTTAATTTGCCTTCCATGTTGGGCGGCTCAGTTTTGAGAATGCCTACTACATTCAACCAAGGTCTTATTTTATGGAATCAATCTTGGAATGTGCAAACAGGGGAAACCTGGAGCAACCTCAGAGCATGGCACCATCTCTCACCTTACGCATTAGCTTGGCCAGCACTACCTCACAGGAGAGAAAAGATGTTTAGTGTGTGTGTCTGTGTGAGAACTTCCCTTTCCCTTTCTTCTTCTTCCTTTAATAAAAAACCCACACGAAAGAACAACATTTTAAAAGTACTACACTCCCTAGACTCTATGTGTATGATGTCCTATTTTTCTAGAGGGCAGTTCAAGGTCTCGCTGAGGTTCAAAGTCATTGTCTGTTGATTTCAAGGCAGCTCTGGAGCTTTCCTTCCTTTTTAGTATAAGCTCCACTGTGCAAAAATGTGCATTATCTTTGGTATTCATTTTAGGTAGTCCGACTTAAAATTTGAGATAACCCATTAACATCATGAAGAAAAAAAATAAAATACCAACCCGGAGGCTACCATTTGGCTAGCGTTACATAATGCCCTTATGTAACCAGAGGAGAGAGAGAGAGAGAAAAAAAAAATCAATTCTAGCAAACAAATTACTGGCCTCAAAAAATCAGGCTCTTGTTTTGGCACTTTGAAGCGCATATCATGAGCTTTCAACCAAGTTCAATACTGACTTTTAAATTACACTATAGAAAAACTACACTGCAACAAAAATACAATTTGTGTTCATGTAGTTAGCAGCTTTTCGAGATTAAGGCAGAGAGTCTTGCCTTTGTTATGCCATTAAAAACATTCTTGTTCCCTAAAGAGACGCATTCTGGATAAGTCAAATACCCAACCAAGGCTTGCCTGCAAGTTCAAGTCTTATAAAAACACAAAACAGAAACACCCCATAACTTATTCTACAACATGTCCATGTGCCGTCGGGTCATGGGGAGGCGTGTTGAGTGCGTTCCGTCCATCTCTGAGCTGAGAGTCTGCCTCTGGAACCATCAGGCTAGCCTCAGTCCCTGGTGGCCACTTGCCTTGACCCACCTCTTCGCCAGTACCGTCGTCTGAATCACTGTTTGGGGCCTTTGACCAACAGACTGTGTTTGAACATAACTATTCCGGAGAAGGAATCGGTCAGTCATATCTCTGATTCTCGCCGTAAGGGCCTGGGCTCTAGAGGTACGCTTGCCTGGTTGTGAAGGTCTAGGTCAGGGGGCGTGTCCGTACTTGTGCTTTCCGGAACGCCATTGTCACTGTCATCTTCCTCTTTGCTCGTGAGGGCAACTTCATTTTCATAGCAAAATGAATTTGCATTGGAGAGGATATATTTCTTTTCTGCTAAGTCTCTGGCGCTGCAAAGGGGCGTGTTGGGTACTTCGTAAGTCTTGTGGAACCTTGAATAGTCCACTTTGTAGTAATGTTTTTCCTCAAAGAGGACAGGCTCATAGCGGTGGCCCCAGAGGATTTCGTTGGCCAGGTACGAGCTCCGGCACTGGGTGGTCATGGCCGTGGCCTCCACCATGCCTTCCAGGATCACGACAATTTCAAAGTCTGCATTGTCAATGTCCTGCTTACTCAAGTCATAGAAAGGGCTGTCTTCGTCAATTTCATGGACTATGGTGATCGGGGACACCAGGAATATACGGTCAATTCCACTGTCAAACCCAACGTTGATATCTATTTGATCCAGGGGGATGTACTCCCCTTCGGAAGTAATTCTGGATTTGAGGAGCTGGGCTCGAACGTGAGCCTCCACCAGGTGGCTTTTCCGAAGATTGCCCACTCGCCACATCAGACACAGCTTGCCGTCTCTCATGGCGATCACGGCATTGTGACTGAAGACAAGAGTCTCGTTTCTCTTCTTGGGTTTGGCCATCTTGGCCATGACTGCGCCAATGATAAAGGCATCGATGATGCAGCCCACGATGGACTGGAATACCACCATGAACACAGCGATCGGGCATTCGTCGGTGACGCACCGGAAACCATAGCCTATGGTGGTCTGGGTCTCAATGGAGAAGAGGAAGGCGGCCGTGAAACTCTTGACCTCCGACACACAAGCTTTGCTCTCCTTCGTTGCATCCAGATCCCCATGGAGCAGAGCTATCAACCAAAACACGCAGCCAAAAAACAGCCACGAGAGCACGAAGGCCAGGCAGAAGATAACCAGCATCCACCGCCAGCGGATGTCCACGCACGTGGTGAAGATGTCCGCGAGGTACCGTTGTCCCTTCTCCCCCACGTTGATGAACTGAACGTTACAGTGCCCGTCCTTCTTCACGAAGCGGCTCCTGCACTGCTGCCGGGTGTGGACTTTGCTCTTCCCGTTCCCAAAGCCATTTGCAACCGCCATGGTGGCCAGCTTCATGCCGTCTTCTTCCGAAGACACAATGCTGTAGCGGTTGGTCCGCACACTGCCCATCGCTTCTGCTGTGGACTCCAGTGCTTCTGCTTTGGAAAACAGTCTGAGTTTTTGCAAAAACCTTTGGAGAAACAGTTTTGAATGCTCAGTGAGGACACACACCAAAAAAAATAAATAAATAAATAAGGAGAGATGGGGGGTCTCCAGGAGCCTTGAGGTCCTACCAAGGTCTGTCTACTGACATGCAGAGTTACCTTAGTAACTCAGCTGACATCCAGAGAGCAGGTCCTGCCAAAGACAGAGAGATCATCCATTACAAGAGAAGTCATTATTAAGGGCTCTAGGCCCTAAGGCAACATTTCCAGCAAGACACAGAGTCAGATATAGATAAATATACCCTACGTTGAATTATTGGAATTTTAATCCCTTGTGCCCTAAAAGATGGTTTTAATTTTCTTTAAAAGCATAAAATCAGTCTTTCCACCAAAATTTCAGGTCCTTTTCCTCCTATTTTTTGCAAGCAGTCTAAAATATTCTATCTTATGGGTCTACCTCTCCCCTCTCATTCTCTTCTTTGGCTTTCTCTACTTGCAAGTTATCAAGCAGAAGAAGGACTGCCTAACGCCAAGGTGTATCATGCAGCTTTAAGAACTTGGACACATCTAGAGAACATTCCATAGGCATGCAGAATGTTAATATTAACTGAGTTGCAGGTGCATTAGGGGAGACTATGACAAGGCTGAAATCAGAAGGTACAGGTTATTTTGTTTAAATGATGCAACTCAGCAGGCCGTCCTTAAAAATCATCTGAAATGGATCCCAGTTTCTGGAGACGGTGTGGGCCGGCTCCATCAGTCCACACACTTCCAGCTGCCACTATGCAGAAATGCCCCATAACATCTCCGTTCATGCAAGTGATTCTCACTTGAAGACGCAAGTTTGCTCTGGGGGCTAGGGAGCTGGTTCTGTTGCCTAGCAATCGGTCCTGAAATTCTCCGGAGATGGGACTGCCGTGTGTAATGACTGGCTCGGAAGTAAGCACCTTTGAGCCAAAGGACCAGGTCTTTAGAGGATTGAGATAAGGCAGGAACTCACTTCATGTGAGTCCAATTCTGTGTTTTCCCAAACAGAGGCAAGGTTGTAGGAACAGATCATAAATGTCAGCTTACTTTCACTTCCACGAGCTGTTGTTTGCTATATGTTCCTATGGAGAAGGCACCCACCTTTCCCTAATGTGAACAAACAGTAGTTCTCAGCTCTCTCCTCTTGCCTTGTCCTGTCCTAGGGAAAAACTACCTACTGACAACAACTTTCCTTCTTGGCTCCAAAGACACTGTTTTTCCCTTGACGACTTGACAAAGGCCTGAGCAAAAGTCGAGGGTGTTTTCTTTATTGAATATAAATTAATGCAGCATCGAACTAAAAAAATCAACACAAACCTACTCTATCTCCTGGATTAAAGGGGGACGGGGAACAACAGATTAAAAAGATCAGGAATCCGTGGAAGCCCTGACCATGGGGACTCCAAGGTGTCTTTCTCCCTCCAAACCATAGGAAGGTGAAGCAGTTAACAAAACCAGTCGCAGCCAAGCCAGCTGCACACGAGAAAAGCACATCGCTTGTCTTGCTTCTGCGCACCCCCTTGCAGAGAGGCGAGGTACATTGTCTTTGAAAACTGCCTTGCTACCGTCTTCTCCCCGCTCCCTCTTCATCCAAGTTATTATGCAAGAATGTGCCCCAACACATTTTTCCTGAGATTAGTCATCTGTGAAAATTGCAATGTGTGTTACATTTTGGCAGCTTCTGACACCTAAATGATGCCCGATTTAAAAGTGTCTTTGAATCACTTTATAAAAAGAAGTTACTGTGCCTTCCCAGTCTTCCACCTGCTTCAGTGTTTTGTCTGCTTCCCTGTGAGGTTTGTACTCGGACAAAAGAGAACAGACTCCTGCTCCTCAGGGTTCTAGATCCTGGACATGGGAAGAACTTTTTTTTTTTTTAACAGTGGCCTCAGCTGATTGGGCTCAGGTGTAATTGCCAAGCATTTCTGCACAAAACCAGATAGAGGTGATATGACACCAAATACAGGTGTACTTTCCCCCCACAAAAAAGAGTGAGGAAGAGGCATCTTTTAACAAGTACGTGTATCCTTGAGTTCTGATTGACTTCGGAATCCTATAAACTGACACCAAGAAATTCCCTTTTCCTGATTCAGAATAACCCTTCCATCGGAGGGAGTGTCTCACATTTCTTCTGACTTACTTCTGCACTTTTCCAGATGAAAGCATAACAACCACAGGAAATCTAAAGACTGAATTACAACTTTCCAAAACTCTCGACCCCAGGACATTGGTCTGAATTCCACAAAACACACACTACCAGCTTCCTCCGAATAGCTTTCCGCATTTAGGCCCTTGAAAAGAGCCTGCATAGAGGGACTATTATTGTCCTGTTTCCATTGCTAATGACAGAATGTGTTCCACATGCAGCGCATCATTTAAAAATTTGACCATTCTGCCATGAAAAAATTTTTTTTTGGGGGGTGAGGGGCAAAATGGAGACTTTTGTCACTTTGAATAGATATGCTCCAAAACAGATGTATGTGTATATATGTGTGCACATACAGAAGATACATTTAGACTTGGTGGAGCTGATTCCATAGCAAAAATCTAGAACCTGCCAAAGTCTGGTAGGTCCACTGTTTTAATACCCCGCTGTGAGGAATGGCTTTCCTACCAACCCGCCCACACACCCGGTGGTGGCTTTGGGCAAGCAGACAACTTCCTTGCTCCTCTCTCACTGAAAATCACTAATTCATGAGCATCTGGGAAAACTTCCATTAGGAACAGGGCTTCTGTGCAGTAGTTTAGGGATAGATTCAAATTAATTTTGTGAGAAAGGATCGATGAAGAGCAGCTGAGAACACTCTGTGACTCCTTGGTGGGAACAAGGCAGGAGAATCGATATCTGATTGGATGAACCACGTGTGCATTCCCCCTCCAGCCTAAATATTTAAGGGCCTGATGGCAATTTGAAAGACGCACATCATCATTTCACCCAGGCGATCCCCAACGAGGTAGAAAATGTTTCTGGGAAATTGAGAGGCTGCATGTGGTGCTGTTCATGGTAAGACTATTTATAGGCTGAGCCAAAATTAAGCATAAGCAATGGAAAAAAAGAGTTCAGCGCTTCAATCTTAGGTAGATGTTAAGGGAGGGAGAGCTATGGATTAAAGAAAAGGAAAAGATCAAGAAGATAACATAAGGAGTGACCCCAAATCATGTTGATCATATAGGAAATATTTCTGATATGGACCATAAAAACCAGAAAAAATGTAATTGTGAACAATAAACAAGAATACATGTGTCCCATCCAGTGGCCATGGTGTAGTGAGTAAGAAAGCTTCTGAGGATAGAAACTGAGGGTCGTAAAGGAGGGTGAGCCGGGCTTAGAGAGCGGCCTGCTAATGAGTGTTCAGAGTAGCTATTCCCCAGCTGACGCCATATAGACCAGCCTGACTGTGCTCTGGGCACATGTTGCTATGTGAGCACAAGTGCTAGCAAGGCAACCTCTGTGATGCTCAGTAAACAGAGGGAGGGGCAGGGAGAGGGGGAGAGAGGGGGACACCCACTTACCTATGTGACCACTACAACACTGACATTCAACAATGCATGGAGCATCCCTCAGCATGTGCCAATGCTGAAGAATATACGGATGTGATACTCAAAAAGACACACGAAAGGAAAACTGAACACAGGCCATCTGTTCAGGTAAAGATGTGGTCAGTCTTTCATGCTACTGAAAAGTCATACAAGGACTCTACAGCTAACGGGAGATCCGACAACTGGAGAGTCTCAAGGAAGTAGAAATATTGCGGATTGTTTTTGGTTTTTGATTTTTAATGCCAAGTTCACAAGAGTTTAGAACAAATATTCCTCGGGAATAACATCAATAACATCAAAGAAAGTGCCGTAAACATGGGGGGGGGGAGGGGAGGAGCTGAAGGCAAAGTGAAATGACCTTGACCCCAACTCTCACCCCTCCCACAGCCCTTGATGTCACACCTCTTAGCCCTGACCTTGGAGATTTTTCCGGATAATGGCAAATACAAATAAAACACTCCGGGGACGGGGATGGAAGTGAGCAGGAAAAAGCTAACAAGTGCACGGCAATGTAATGGGCAGCAGACATACAACAGTGGCGAGAGGAAATCTCACTGCCTCTAGATTATGAATGTGAAAATAAAAGTAGTAAAAGGCAATATGCAGTCTTTGCATACCCAAAGCATGTTTTCAAATCATGCCTTATTTCCTAACAGGTAAAGGTAAAGTCTGAGTCTATGAGAAGCCCCCGTTTCACAGTCCTATCCTGGTTACCATCCTACTGCTCTGCTTACTGAGGCACAAACATTAAACTGCCCATCTCCCATCTCTACTTTTCCCCCAGTTGTCATGATCGGTCTGTTATGATGCAATCTCTTTGCAGAAAAAGTCGTTTCCCCCACTGGCCTCCCTAGAAACCATGCTGTCTTCCACGTAGGTATTATTATTTATTATTATTTATTATTATTATTATTATTATTATTATTAAGAATTACAAGTTGCTTAGGGGAAAGTGACATAATCGTGTGAGCGTTTTGCGGTCTTTAGGCTCCATTCCAACTCGGGCTGCCTCTCTCTTCCCAGCAAAGCAACTTTGAGACGCTTGCTCCGTTTGGAACTGGACTCTATACTTCAAGCAATGACCAAGAAATCACATAAAAAGGCCAAGGATCGAGACTACTGTGGAGTACCCGGATCTGCCTAGCTTTGAGACCAGTACCCCAGTTACCCTATCCCCTCGCCCCTCTTTTTCCCTTACAGCGACAATCCAACGCAAGCTCCCTCGCCCCTGCCTCCAAACTCAGTATCTCGCTACAGCTGGTGCATTGGAAGTTATGAGCACAAACAGATGCTGCAGAGAAATGTTTCGATTGCTCAACTGTTCCAAGCATGTCTCAGTATTTTTAGCTCTGGGATGTGCTGGTGCGCACACGAACTCTATAGGCATGCTCCGGGACTCGGAGGGAGCGTGGGTGCGCGCTACTGCAGCCTGACAGCTGGGCACCTCTGGAGCAGCGGGGCAGGGGAAGAGTCGGGAACCTACGGCAGCCCCAGCCCGAGTCCACGCTCCCCAGGGCACGCGTGCAGCGAGACGGAAGCGGGGAAGAAAACACACAGCAGCCCTTACCTGTTGCTGGCGCAGGAGCATGGGGACATGGAGTGGAAGCAGGGGGGGCCCAGAGGCATGTAAGATCCAGTGGTTTGTAAGAGCGAAGGCGCCAAAGCGAAGCCGAATTCCCAAGACCCAGCTTGCGGGCGGCGCGGGGCAGGCGGCGCGCTGGCCAGGGCTCCAGTGCGCTCTGCAATATCCTGGGCTCTTTTAACATGGAGTGGCAGGGGGGGCCCAGAGGCATGTAAGATCCAGTGGTTTGTAAGAGCGAAGGCGCCAAAGCGAAGCCGAATTCCCAAGACCACCCTTGCGGGCGGCGCGGGGCAGGCGGCGCGCTGGCCAGGGCTCCAGTGCGCTCTGCAATATCCTGGGCTCTTTT